AGCTCGACCGAGCCATTTGCCTCTTTGATATCGCTCTAGACAATCTGACAAGCGAAGAAGTGTGCCGAAAAGTGTCGTGTTCTGCGGTTAAGTGGAAAAAATTATGATCACTGTTTTCAAATTCATTTAAAACCTATTCCCTATCATCAGCATAATTGTAAGAATTTGAATGAATATATGTAGAAAGAAGCCTGTTCGATTATCAAATTATCAAATATCCGTCATTTTCCGTCATTTGCTTAATGCATCTTAAGGTTGCTCTTTCCAAGAGTTTTTAGCAGACACTGAAGAATGAAATGAATGGCTAGCCTGATGATATTTTGTTCCTCGAAATTTGCCCGTTAAGCAAAAATTCGTTAAACAAAATTAATTTCCCCTTTACTCCCTGCCTTCCTTCAAGAGAGATATTAGATCCGTCTTGATACAACACAGAGCTATATCAAAATACGAGAAAAAACATTTGTTCAAGTACTGCATCTAAATAAACGTTGTTAGCCATTGGCCTATGCAAAAACAATAACTACAGAATTAAAATTTGGTGTCGTCCTCATTATCGCTAATTTAAATATTAATATATCGCAAACTTTCATTTCATATCAAAATATACAAATTCCTTAATTTCTTTAAAAAAAATGGTGCAGCGTTGAAGCTGCGGTTGGTGGACGTCAGGCTCGGAGTCGCCAAACGACAAAATTTGGACTTACGCATCTCTGCCTGAAGGTCAAGTAGCATAAATGGATTTTAGACGAGAAAACGTATCGAGTAATATTTATGTAAAGCTATCTTTTCAATCCATAAAATTCATGGTAATAGGCGAGAATGTCAGCCATTGCCTCTTTGAAAGCAGAGTTTCTCCATGTAAGGATTATTATCCTGTAAAAAGTTGCATATTTCATTCATAAATTTCTATACTGCAGCCAACTTCTTAGTATCAGGAACTTCAATTTCAAATATTTCACCTTGGTCCTCAGTCAGCTCTTTTGACCCCTCATTCAGTTGCTGAATGGGTCTTCATTTGCTGGTTCCTTGCCATGGGTGACTTAAACATCCTGAAATATTACGTTTGTCATGAAGCCATCTTCATTTGAGAATGAGTCGGTTTTGCACAGCAGATGACCCTGATATTCCAGGGCGATTGTCTAACTGGCAGTTTTAGGTTTCGCCTGAAAGAACTATGTCATGTCCCTTCATTGGATTGCCACAGAGTACTCGTACCGTCGTATTACTTCTAGACGCATAATAAATTTCTCGACAAGCCGCACCTCCATTCCGTTTGAGTACCTGTAATGCATGGATGCATTACCGCCTCATCAAGTTGGGCCAAACAAATGTGCTTTCGAACATCAACTGGTCCAAGCAATTGCTGCTGGTGCACCAAATGAAATACCACAGTCCGTTGGCAGTTATGTTCAGCTAAACGCAGTGGCACGGTATGACATTCATAACTGCAAGTATTCAAATACTAAGAGAGCGATGACCTGCTGAAATGTCCCCTAGGCGTATGGCACTATCGCCTGAACCCACCGGAGCGAACTGCAGCACCCATTCCAGGTCCCAGCGTAGCAGTAGCAAACATTTTCATTATGATTCATAATAAACGAACGTTTTGCATTCAGTGACGTACTGTGAAGACGACAGGACCTGTGGCCTTCAGATGGTCTGTGTGGCAGGCAGCTACTGTCGCGCATTGGTGCCAACGGGAAACCGCCTCTGCAAAGTGCAAGCTGATTGTCCAGCTGGCCAGCTGTGCCGGTTAAATCGTTGTCGGAATTTGGCTAGTAAGTGTTAAACGACTGACGAATAATTTAAAGTTATGACGAAGATGCATTCTGCACAACCAACTCTGACTGCTACCCTCCGTTGCAGTGCATGAACCACGTGTGCCAGATAAAAATTGAGAAAAGTAATTTCGAAATGTACTTTAGCCCTTGTACTTTAACCGACGATTGCATTTCTGTCAGGATGTACATCAATGTACGATTGTCCGATTGGCTACCTTTGTGCCAACAGCGCCTGCCTGGCTGCCAGAGAAATATATGGCGCAACTTGCAACCCGTCGATTGGTCAGAATTGCTCCGTTAATTCTTACTGTAGAAATTTCTTCTGCTGGGTGCTTGCCGGTAGCGTGAAAGAGTTTTGTGGCGTAATGAACATGACGATCATTATCTGCGTTTTAAGGAACAAGCTGTACACACTCGTGGCAGTGCGTACAAGGCGACGCCTGCTTCGGCGGAGTCTGCAACAGCGGTCCTGCAAGTATGAACGACTTTCTTGATCGTCAGTTTTATCGGCCCTTAAAATTTCAGTTTTGCCTTGTGCAAGTCAGAGCCAGTGCCAAGGACAGTATATCTGCACGACTGGAGGATACTGTAGGCCATCCGTACCAACTCGGGCAGGGGCTTGCCGAACCTACGAAACCTGCGGTCTTGGCGCTGTGTGCAAAAACAGAATTTGCCTAACTTTGGCTCGTACGTCTTTGTTTTGCCCCGTGTTGCATACATCGCGAAAAAAGTTTTCGTTACAGACAATACCTGCGCATCGACCAGTGACTGCATTTATCCGATGATTTGCATGCAACAAGGCGTGTGCGCCGATCCTTTCGCCAGTCGTTCAAAGGATTCGACCAAGACCCAAAAAACTGGAGTTCGAACTGGCTGACTGAACCGCTTAAGTGCATTTATTTGCCATTGGCACAATATAACCAGTTGTGCAATGTATATTATATCATGATTATTCCGTCTATATCAGTCGAAAGCTGCATTTTGTTTCAGCCTATTGACGCATAGCATTTCAACTCTCGAAATGAATTCGAGAAAGGGACAACACTTTCTTGACTCTTTAGTTTTGTTCATTCTTTGAGGAAGGCCAAATGCTGCTGACAGCGTCTACGGGTTGCGAACAAGCAATCTTGGACCATGTTTCATTGCAGTATCATAGGGCGCAGCGATTCGACTTCTGTCGAGGGCATCAGCACAGAAGAAGACGATGGAGAAGCAGAAAGATGAACGGCATGTAGTCATGCATTCTGCGTTACGACGTGAAAGAACTTGTTGGTATATGATTTGTTGATCTTGTCAGCAGGGATGGTGTTGTTCTAGTAGGAAGGCGCAGTTCAGGTATCTGGTCGGCCATCCCGCAGACCTTGAATGCGTAGATTACATATTCCTGATAGTTTTACAGCGAAACTGTGATATGCATCACAGTTGCGAAATGAGATTTTGTTCTTAACGCACAGAAGTTGGAGGTAACTAGAAATCCATCTGACAACATATCCGCAATTGCAACGAGGAAATAAAACGGTAGAGCGGTTGACCGGTTTACTGTGTTTTACCACCTCTGGTAACGGCATCACTCAAATGAGGTGAAACAAATGTATTGTCTTTTCTTGAGTCTCCTGAGTGTTTTTGCACTTTATTTTGTGACCTCTGCGAAAAGAATAGTTCAACTTGAGAAAGAAGGATACTTAAAGTTCGCAGTAGAAGTATGGTGCCGTTTTAATACAGTTGAATTAGAAAAGCGTTTATAGAGAGGTTTTGAACTTCGCGTTCAAGTGGTCGCGTTGAACAGTATGAATGTGCCCGGTGGTTGTGAAAGGTGAATTGCAGGATGCCTCAGCGCCATTCAGATGCCGACCATTTCGTGGCATAATAGTCTCCCTTATGCATAATTACCTTCGCGTCTATCAATATTTACCTGAGGGGATTCTTAGAGTTATGAGAGGCTTAACTTATTATGTTTAACGATTTTTTCCAATTAATTAGGCATACACTTACCAGCTACATTTTAATTTGTGACTTACATTTTCATATGTAGACTTTGACAGTTTACACTATTCCCGTATTACCATACCATGTTCAACATGTTTATGACACGAGAATATGCGTAGTTCTTTTACCCTTCCTAATATGAACATGGCGACGAATGAATCTGCTGAGACGTTGTTGTCAATGGACTCTAAATTTGGAGTGGTAAAAAATTCAGTAAACATGGTTTCCTTAATCGACATTGATGACCGATATCAAATGTACTCTAGACTGATTTGTGTAAAAGCCTTCAGAAGCAAAGGAACAACGCGATTGTAAAATGTAAATCAGGTGAAATGGCGTAGCTTTCACACTGACGGTAGTGAAAACCAACTACGTACCTTATATATTCACGGGCTTAAGGATTACCATTGGTGATTTTAACAGTGTTCCCTATGCCTCTAGAAATGTACGGTCGGCGTGACTCTGCCACTTTGAAACTCGTAGAAATGACAAATATAGCCTATTCTCACCAGCAGTAGTGAAAATCAACATTTGTTTGTAAACCCATTACTGTTGGGTAATATGATATGGATAATGATTGGTGACGTACTTCCGTTAATGCTACGAAAAAGTTGAGTTTGGCCCAACAAACTAATGCAGTTTCTTATCGGTACACCTTCCGTTATGTGGAGCCACGCCACCTTGAATATTTCATAATTCAAGAAGACGGGTCGGCAGGGTTAAGCCGCGTAAACCCAGAAAATGATCCATGTTAAGCAGCTACTGATTCTGTTTATTTCATTAAACGATTCTGATAAACGGTTGGGTCAAGTTTCTTTTTGTCGCCCTGTGTCCACAAAGAAGCACCGCCAAGCAGTCACTCCTGGAACGTATCAACGCATGGAATAGCTCGAAAACTACGTGTTGAGAATCTCATGGCAGTATCACGATACTTGGCGCATTTCGAGATCTTCAAGCTCCAACAGCGCTCAGACGTGAAAGCGACAAACCGTGGTCACTCATTTTATGTAACATCACTTCAAAACAACGCATGAACTTCGCCTGATTAAAGTTTCCACGAATCGAAAACAACGTCACCG